AAAATGAGTAAATGTCCAAGAAATGTTGTTTCCCACAAGTCATACTTATCTTCAGTTCCGTCAAAGAAAAGTTGAGTTGATGCCATTAATCCAGCAGCTCCGTTGCCATCTTGTGAACCTTATCGCTTCAGTAGTTCCAGCGCAATACATCGCATTAAACTCAGTATAGGCACTCACTTATCTTAATGCTAAATAATTTAGCATAGCCTGTAGAAGTCCCGCTCAATCCATATACCTTTCTTCCTCAAGAACTATTCCCTGGTCATGGTTATTGCTCTGCTTCCTGGGCCCTAACCTGTTGTGATGAGTGGTGCGCAGAGGTATTTGCGTTGCAGAGATAAAAATAAGTGAATCGCTGAGTTTGTTCAGCCTCTCTCAGGCATATTTATTAAAAGAATCACAATAAAGCTGTGTGCGCAGCATTCTTCGGAAGCAGTAAACGTAAACCCATTACGTAAACACATTGTAGATATGCACACCCGAAGTAACATGCATAATATCAACAGCAGGTGGCAGTATTGGAACATGTGCTGAGTAAGAACTTTTAAAATGTAACAATTATAACATTTTTGTAGCTAAGTTGGCTAACTACCAAGTGTGATCAATGATTGGAAGAAAAAGCAGTCAGGGTGTGTGCTTGTAAATGTTTTAAAAAGTCAACAAAATGTTCTTTGTTCATCCTCATTCATCGTCTGGGGATTTGCTAGGGGACTCCCATGCCTCCAGCTGGACCACCTTGCAGAAAATGTGGTTTGAAGTTGACTCTGAGGAAGACAAATAGTGGTTGTATGCTGTTTCCTGACACAGATACTGCGCAAGCACTTGTCATTAATATGCTCCTCTCCCCAGAAGTCAAAGATCCAACCTGCTTGTAACAATTTCTGGTTTATGGACAGATGTGACACCTCTTTCATCCATATTCCAAATAAACTGTGGTTCAAACTTGCACCTTTCCAGAACATCTTGCAGGTTTTTGAAAAATAAACTAATGTTCTCCAAATGTAATACACTGGCTCGTGCTAAACTTGTAGCTTAAGGGGTCCTGAGAGGACCTGATTTGTTTTCATGAACCAGCCTGCCCTAGCCATTGTATTCTCTACCCAGCTTTTACAAATGTGTTTTTGAGAGTGAATGGCAAAGGTGTACTCTAGCCTTTGGATTTCCATTGGGGAAAGTCCAAAGTACATGCCGGATGCCATGAGGCCATAATCCACAAACTCCTTTTCTTGCTTAGCTGTGAAAACTACACGGTTCCTGATTTAACCAACAGCGTGTATGGGCTGGTTATCTTGTGCCATAACCTCATCATTACTGAACTTACTGCAGTATCTAGCTACGGTCTGGTAGTTTATTTTGAATGCTTTTGCTGTGCCTCTGATTGATTTATTATGGTATTTCCACTCCCTGACTGCCATTAGCATAACATCTAGTGGTGTCTGGACCCTCTCCGTCTTCCTAATGGATATCCTGCAGATTTTATCTAAGAATTAGAAAGGGATGTTTTAAAATAGAACAATAGAACAGCATGGCTTATCCCCTCTTTCAGTCGGGGATCCTGTCGGTGTTGGTTGTCACATGATGAGGATTACCTCCTGCTACATTTGTTAGTTCAGCAAAGAAAACAAAATATTAAACTTTTAGTTTTATCTCTTTATATTAGCATATTTTTTAAAGCTTCAAACCACCCTCTCAATGAATTAGAAAACTATGCTATGCATTTGAAAATGTATTTTTACCTACCTATGAATTACTGGCCCTC